GGTGGAAATAAAGTATTTGGGTGTGATGGGTGTGGACTTCAGATTAATAGAGATCCAAATGGCGCCCGGGGAATTTTCTCCGGGCATTGCTTGATGGAGCCTTAGTTATGTAACATAATTATGCCAATTTATTGATTATAGTTGACTATTTTTAGCTATAGTTGATCGATTCAATCCATCCGTACGACGGTGAAAATCTTACTATCACCAGCCATGATAGAATTAAAATGAATGGGGTAGTGCAGATTATCGAGAATGAAGTTAATGAAGATATAGAAATTGTAAAGAAATCTGTACAGAAAAAGTTGAAGGGAAAGTATTGGGAAAAAGAGTGATGCGAGGAATAATATAAAAGATTTGTAAACCTATTACTGTGATATCGCGAGATTATAAAGCTGAAGGGTTATAACAGATGAAAATATACATAGGCTAATATTGATATTACATCGCAGATTATGAAGAATGACCGCCTATCTCCTCAAATTATATCCTCCACTCCCATAGTCTTATATTAGGAGAGGAGAGACAAGCAGAGTAAAGAAAAGAAAGATGACCCGAAAGATATCTACAAATAGATAGTCTTAATATCATTGACGCCGAACTGTTCACCACACCCGGGACATTTACGATGTCTCATCTCTACCCGTGTGTCTATACAATGCCTGCAGAAACAGTGCATGCACTTTATTATGCAGGTGTCTTTAAACCGTTCCGTACAAATCGAACATTTTAGCTTGCCCTAAAGATTAAACAAAAACCATTAACAAAATTTGATGAAAAAGCAAACACAAACATACACCCCACGAATGTATGTAGTATGACGCAAATAAATACCTTATACGCATTAACCTCGGCTTCTAAGCCTGCAGACAGTGTCGACTTCTTCGTCTGAGCCTTATTCTTGTAGACTAACATTTCTTCTTCTGCACGTCGTCGTAATTTATTTTCTTCAACTATTTGTGCGGTCTTGGTTTTCAACATGTTTGCGAGCTGAAATAATACATAACATTTCGCTTAGAATTTAACGTCATAATATTTAAATACGTGACGGTTACCAACCTCATTATATTTAGATTCCCCTTTGGATAAGGTCTCTTTCATCCTGTTAACCTCTTCTGTCATTTCCGCTAGTTTAATCTTGTGGATTTGCAATGCTGCATTTGCCGCTGCGAGCTCTTTCTCTTGATTTTGCTGTCCATTCAATTAAAATTAATCCTGAGCTAAAAGTTGTACACGGGTCTAATCAACTAATAAATCTTACTAACCAGCTGCTGGTTCAAATTGACGTTTTTATATTCAAATTGTCGTCGGGTCTCTTCTGCTTTGAGCTGAACTTTACCAAATTCTGCAACTTGTTTCTTGAGTGAAATATTTTCTTTATATACATTATGCAGTTTTTGTTCTGCTCGCGTTTTCTGAAACCACATGACAACAAAGTCAGTACAGCCAACAACAAAAAATTTTTTTGGCAGTTCCATAGCATAGCTCGTCTTTGCACTCACCGCGTCAGTCAATCGTAATATAGTATCTTCAGCTTTAATTGTATCCCATACTTTTCTACTATGTTCCTCTTCTTGTTTGGATACCTGATCTACAAGGGTGTCAACCTCACGCTCCAATATCCTTGCGTGCTAAAAGCAAAAATTGTAAGCATGCTATTCATTAAACAAACAACCAATTTTCTCAAAACACTCACTGCTTGAGACGTCTGACACTTTTCTTGAAGTTCTTCTATCAACTTGTCCTTTTCGGCAATCTTGGCAGACAATATATGCAAGGGGTCGTCTCCAGGATCTTTAATTCCATATTTTTTGTCATATTCATCAAGCCGACGCTTTAGTGTGTCAACTTCTTTCCGTAGTCTATATTCGGATTCTCTAATCGATTGGACATCTTTGACATCTGATCGCGCATCTCGACACGCCTCCAACTGCCTTTCAAGTATTTCTCGCTCTTCGTCTGATTGTCTGATAAGTAGTCAATAAATGTGTAACATTTCGGTTAAAGAATGAATCAAAAAAGTTAAAGAATCAACTTCAAATAACAGTAGCCTCCTCACTTTAATCTTTCCTCAAGTTCGGCAACATATGATAACTCCTCGTTAATTTTTCCGATGCTAATATCATCTCCCATATCAGGCGGGTCACTGGAATAAAACTCAACGGCCTTTTGATTTCTCGTCTCTGCGTAGATCATAAGTTTTAATCTCCTAACTTCATCCTGTAATACTTTTATGGCTTGTTTCCGATCGTTCGCCAATTTTCTTAGCATCGTAACCTGTTGAAATTCTGACGCTCGCGTTGCCGTGACAATCTCCAATTCGTGTTGTATTTCATCACGTTGAGTACGAATACGATTCAAATCCGTTTCGAGACTCCTCATTTCCGTCATGATATCGTTTACTCGGCTGTTCGCCTCATTCTATTCAAGGAACTTTAACTCTGAGCTTTTGGAAAATTTGACAAGTAATAAAGCAGGATGAAGAGAGTGAGTGAGAAATATGAGCACACCTCTTCTTGTGATCGAAATGCCCGTCGACTACCTCGTAAATCTTCTATTTCGCGAGTTAAATTCTCGACCATAGTCCGAAAATGTTCGGCAGCGCCTCGTGCTTGAGAAAATTGGACTTGAAGATCTTTGAATACGTGAGTTTCAGTTACACGATCCTCAGGCATATTCTTAAGCTTTAAAACCAAAAAGAGTAATAAAGAAATAAACATTAAACCCACAAATAAATGGCATTCGATTGTCCTCAACATACACTACGAAATGCATGTAAAGTTTCCTACCTGAAGAGTTAATGAATCCTTCTCCTGTTCAGCTTTAACCAATGCAGCATTAAGATCTTCTATTTCTTTGAAACGAGAATCTGCTACGGTCCTATAATGTATTACATCACGGCCATCAGCCTGTAACGTAACAAAATATGCGTTAGGGCTGTAATTGCCTAAATAACAATGCCCATAACTTTATCCGATGACTAATTTCTTCATAACTTTTCGTAAAATTGTCCTTCTCGGCCAAAAATAAACTATCAGCACTTACAGAATCGTTACAACCTCCCTGTTGAATGCCATTAGTGCCAGGGGTAGTAGGAGCATCACCCGAGCAATTAGCATGCTGAATTCTAAACTTTTCAAATTTCTTTTCAGTCCTTAATAATTCGCTTTTTGCATTGTCCCAACAATTGATGGTCTCGCTCAGCCTATTTTTAACTTTTTGGAGTTCATCCTCTAGAGCTTGTATTGACATCTGTTCAATCAAAATACAGATTAGCAAGTCAAATAGATTACAAACCATAACAAAAATTATATTCGACTCACTCTTTGCGACCACATGGATGTTTCAGTTTTCAGTTCTATTAACTCTTCGCTTAGTCTATTGTTTAACTGTCCTAATTTCTCCACTTCTTTATTGAGCAGGCGAATCATTTTATTCTCTCTTAGTACAGGATCATCTTCTTTCTGCAGAGTTCTTATCAAAGCATTCCTTTCGTCTAGCCAAGCGGCCATTTTTTCCACCAACTTTTTGTAAGCATCTAAGGTATACGAACATTTCTTCCTCAGCTCCGCCTTTATTAAGTCTGTAAATATGCCGTCTTCTTCTATGTGTATAAGACGTCTCAAGAAGTTCGACTCTTTTATTAAAACTGACATTGGCGTTCGGGAGTATGTTGCAATTTGTCAAATATTCAATCGGTCAGTGCATAAAACCGGACGATAATTCAAAAGTATAGAGTAATTACGACAAACAAGATTAAAGTTAACAAAATAATTGAAAAGATAATAAGCAAGAAAAGAAAAGACTCTACCTGGATCCGGTATAATTTTAGAGAGTGAACCGTCCTCATCCATTCGTGAAACTAAAAGACGCAATCCATTAAGTAGCTATGAACCGTAAAAGAATTTTTTTACAATTGAACGTTAACATAATTTTCCGATATGCGAATGAGCAGAGCCGTCTCAATAACAATAAATTGTTTACCTGTTCCCAGTAAATGTTAACGGCACTCAATTCGGCCTCACAATCTTGCTCTGTTCTTTCAAGAGTTTCAATAAACTTGGCTGCCCTCTCGTGTTCTCGCTTATACTCTTGCATTCGACAGAAAATAGCTTCTTTTTGGAATTTCTAATTACATGCATAGAAGATACCATCGAATGGGAAATACGCGATAAGACTTAGAAACTGTTCTAGTAGCAAGCTCATCGTAATTGAAATGAATCGATTAAGAGTAATTAATTACCTCGAGGGACTTTGGATCGTTTATGTCAATGTTCACGGGAGCATCGAAGTAGCCAGTGTTATAGATTGTCGAGGTTGAAAGCCCATTAGTTCCAAAGCCAGCGTTCCCAGAACTCTGCGTTAGAAATTGTCTTTTTGGAGGCGGGTTTGCGCGTGAAGGAGAGGCACATCTCTCAGCATAAGTCCTCTTTTTATCTTCCATACTCCTTTGCTTTTCCTGGGGGCGGGATACTCAAATAAGCCACACAATTTACAGTACTGCGTAAAAAGTGCAAACCGTTTAAAACGTCAGTTGTTTCACAAGTGTCGCACCAATTAATGACGAAAAACTGCGGATATAGCATTCCCTGGATTTTTACCACAACTACTACTGTGGATTGTTCATAATACTCTACGTTACCCGAGTCTGGACCTTTGGCAAGCCAAGACGATTCATTTACAGAACTTTTGTTACAAATACGATGATTGCTGAAAACACTGCAAATTCGCTGAACACTGCTCTCATTATGAATATGCCTTTTCTGACTGTTCAAATCCAGTAACTGCTTAAGAAAATAACGTCTTACTCATATAAAGCTTACATATGAAACAGATTTTGCATGTTTCGTTCAAACTATAAGAGTCGGTCCGGCTTTCTAGTATCAAAATAAATGCTAAACAATTGAATAAAAAATGGCTATTTTAATTCGACGTTGACTTTCTATACTGTGAGGTTTCCATGCCGTACCGAGTGGTAACTACGCCTCGAAAGACGAAAGAACTTCAATCAATATATGTACCAGCTGCTATCCCTTAGACTATCGGTTTCCGACACTACCGGGCAATTTTCTCGACTTGACTATGTTCCGAGAATGAATTCGACAATATAGAAAATTCAAAGTTTAACGATTTGCTCAAGTAAATATTAAACCGGCGCAGAAAAAGCATTCGTCATATTCCTCACGTGTCCGCAGCGTTTGAGCACATGTCCAAAAAAAGCTTTTGTATCCAGGAATGGAGTCTGCCTTCTGATCTGATCGCTTGTCATATCCAATTGTGTTGGGGACGGCAATATTGGATAGTGCGGCGTTCGCCAATTAAGTATTATTACTATTACAGTTATATTATTATTATTATTAGGGTATTGTCTCTTAATATTAAGACAATTCATATCTTGCCCATTCTCAGACCCAATATAACAGAGTTGTTGTTATACGCGCTCGAATTGCGCATGACTTAACTGTCGGGTCAGCGTCAAGACTCACAAACGAACAGATCGTCGCTTAATTAATTGGTTGGGACAAGTTTCCTGGGATCAAATCATCCGTAAACTTTGTAATTGTCGAAACATGAGCACGGTCCCACATGGATCCGCATTTAATATAATAAATGTGTTATGCATAATCTTCATAAACGAAATCCTGTTATAGAAATGTGTGGCACACGATTTTCGTGGAGTAGAGTAACTGGAATACCATACTATATCCAGGCTTGCCCTCTCATTTAACTAACTGTATTTAATGCAGACTTTGCATTCTTCATCTCTGGCATTGTTGCATTCTTATTATGTAATTTGAAACTTACTTTTTCTATACTTATCAATATAATGTATCATATTTTCGTTTATACGCGGTCAACAGTAACGGTGATATTAAGCTCTCTCCAGTTGGGACAAGAGCTTGTAAGAAATTGAATCAGAATTCATATGGCCATTACAAAGCTAAAATCGGAAATACTACAGATTTTAATTACATAATTGAAGCGTAAAATAAAATTGTACAATGGACAAACGCCCTCTAGCTGGACAAATTTAGACTTTAATGCCAAAATTCGAAAATGTTATATCTGCAAGTATTGTTCAAGTTATTGTACAATAGTAATAGATCGAATTTTAAGTAAAACACATACATTCCGTTACGCTTAGTGATAATCGAATAAAACCCGTGCCAACGCTTCTACCTTCTACATTTCTCCGATTACTCGGCGGCTTATTTGGGCTGCATTTTCATGTCCTCATTTGTATAAACGGCTATTTGGTAGAAGGTATTTCCGATCGGAAACGCGCGCTTTTCCCCGTCTACTTTGTCGTCAGCCATTTATTCGCCACCTGATCTAAACAATGTGAAGTCTGTATCTTGCGACCATGAATTGTAAGTCGACACATTATAACACCAGCTGTATGATTGAGTATACCCTTTGAGAGATAGCGAATTTACTTTTAATCCAAGACCTTGAGCTAGTTTCTGGGCATCATAGTATAGTAAATACTTCCATCTAGTATTGTTTGGGAATGTTCAGCGAATATGTGAGTGCCTAAATAAAGACCTCGAAACCTCAGCGAATATGTGAAGGTCGACAAACCATGTTAGTATCCATAGCTCACTTCATCTTTAACTATCGACTTTATTACAATATATAATAAACTTTTAAGTGTTCTAAGAACGTTATCAAACTCTTTCGAAATTTACATGTGAGCATCATCTAATTCTTCATTACAAGACTTTTGTTGGCCTTTCTTCTCTTTTACAAGAATAATAACTTACCCGTATAAATTAGCGAGCTAATAACGATTGACCAAGACAGATGAATGTCACCTGATCGGCGTCCCATTTTAACGAGTTCTAATTCGTCTTGAAATGGCGGCAGTCTCTTGCATGTTTTGAACAATAATTAAGTAGAAGAGGATTGGAAAAAAATATATCTTTCAAATTAATGATATCCAGCTAACCTTTATCTAAATATAAGTTTTATTGACGATTGCACTTGGCGAGGATTCATAACGTTCCAGTTAAATTGATTTGGTTCTTCTAAATTTGATTTTTCGCTTTTGGATTCATTGTCATCCTTTTTTACGACTCTGCAGTATGCAGTCTTGTAAAGGGCTGGGAACACTCTCGCGTTGTTAGGCATTAGAATGTTGTACATTAATGAGACTAAACTTCTTCGTAAGATAAGATCAGTGACTTACCAATTTGTGTCTTCCAGCAAATGTTGCAGATTAATTTGTTTTGATTACTTTAGGAGAATGTTTTTGTCAGGGCAAATTGTATGCCAGCTTTTTAGAGACTCCAGTCAGATTACAACTTCATTAGGGACAGATAGATGAGCATACCTAAACCTTTAATCCAAAGATAACTTTTATTCGAACTGCTCATCAATCGAATATAGAAATATAGGAGCGTGAGTGCAAGAAAGAATATTTATATCATAGGCAGTCTCACATAAAGATCGCGAATCTGCGCAAATAACCCACTGAGCCACATCCGGTGACGGGCTGACTTTTATATATTACGCTGCCTAAATTAATTACAATTTTTCCAAAGAGGAGATTAACAAACCGAGAAACTCGTTTTCGCTATGGTTGTTGATACTGTTATAATAGTTCACATCGAAAGTAAAGCTAGTGACAGTAAAAAGAAACCCTACTGCCTGCACTTCGTCTTTTACACAGATCACATTAAACGCATTTGCGGTTTATTCTTACAGTCTAGGCCTTTATTAGCTTTATTATTACACTACCTACCTTAACCATTTCACATAGCTCTTCATGAGAACATTTTGCGCACTACCCAAGCCTCCACCACCACGGTCTCTCTCTAGAACAAACAACGCATCTTTTACCGTCACTCTAGTTGCAGTGCTGTTTGCATGACGCGGTGGTGGTGCAAGTGCTGTAACATTTGCTGCTGAATCTCTTGGTATTAATCTACCACTCGATAATGACCTCCCTCCACGCACAGCAGAAGGGCGACCACGAACCCGAGCCTTAGACGTTAACGTCGTAGATTGTGATGTGCTTGGTATGGTCGATGTCGGTGTCTGTACTGGTGTCGTCGACAAAGATGCTGTAGGTGATGGAGAAGGTAATGTTGGTTCGCTTGTCGCCTGTAACATCCAGCTTTTGGTTAAACCACCAGCGGCTGTTAGGGCTGTTTGATTTGTGATTTTTTTCATTACATCTTCACTCAGATGTTTAGAGCCTTCTTTGACAGATTCTTTGCGTCTTTTCTTTTTCAGTGGTAAGCCCGAACCTTCGTCTAGCCTGTCTTCATTACCATCGTCGCCCTTGTCTGGCTGGTCTCGACGTTGTCGATCGGATATTATTTCATGACGTCTGCGTTCTTGTTCGGCGTCTACTTTTTGAATAGCATGTAATTGAGAACGAACGTCTTGTGATATCACATGTTTATACATTGGCTGATTATTATCATCGAGTGGTGGTTGGTGTGTATGATCCGCGAGTGTTCGATGGTTTTTAACAATAATCATTTCTTCAAGTAGCGACCTAATTCTCTCTTGAGTAGCAAGTGCAAGGTATGCGTAGACGTCTTCGTGTACGCTTAGTTTCTGTATCTTTGCTAGATCATCAGGAGAACAGAAACATCAGAGAGAAATATCTTCCGATATACACGACTCAAATGAATATACGTTTTGTGTATTACCAATCTTATTGACAATACTCCTTAGTTTTATCTGGTTCAGGAAACTCTGTAATCTTGATCGATCTCTGTCCGGTACTGCAGCGAACGACTGACGATGCTGTAGTATTTCATTTTCTCTCAGAATAATGTCCGATTCTTCCTGTGTCATCATCATGAAATTGCCGTTGTAAGCATTCTTATTCGACTATGGTTTTACATAATGATTTGTTAACTGACCTTTAGATCTACGCCCGTAAAAGACATGGCGTCAGTTAAAGTCGCTATATCTATTTTTTCTTCCGCTCTTGGTATAGGTTGGCCCATAATTCGCCTGCATATTCCAATAACAAAAATTCATTTACATTTTATGATCCAAATTATCCCTAGAATGCAAGTCCTTTAAACGACTACCCACGATTGATTAGGTGTCGCTGTGATTGGCGTCTGTGGTGTCGTTGGGACTACTGATTACGGAATAATAAGAACCAGTAATCACCGTACGAGATTAGCAAGAAACGGACAAAGAGAGGAGGACCTACTCTTAAAACAGACTACATACTTCCAACACGAGGTAATACTATCGATGGTGTGGTCACAATAGGAGTATATATCGTAGGTCGATAGGAGGGTATCGGGTCCATACTCTGTCCTGGCACCATAATCGACGTTGGCGGTTGTTGTGTATGATTAGAACGATGGGTAGCAGAGACTTGGTTATTTTCCGACATTTGGTTATTTTCCGACATTTGCTTTTTCACGTCTGTTCACTGCCAGGATAGCAACAATGTAGTTCAGTCTTTCTATAAATCGTAGCAATGTAAAAAAGACCCAATTAAAATGGGGTCATAACGTCATGATAGACTTCAGGGGTTTGGCCCCCCATATTAATATCTTAGTTTTCGTGTTTTTAAATCAAGGTACCAGCGAATAGATCTTGACTGAATTACACACACTATTACTATGCTAGTTTGAACCATTGTATACATATGTATTCGTCCATCTATATCTGTATTAAAAATCGTTTCAAATACAAAAATAACATTCCATTAGAAATACAATAATAATATCCACTGTGAGATAAGCACTTATTGCTACGATCGATTAGTGTCCGTGTTATTCAATTAATACATGGAAGAGCGTTTTGGAGAGTGATAAAGCCTTGAGAAACTATTTCGACACGTCCCATTACTATTCGCCATTCTGAGGAGTATACGTAAAATGACGTCCTAGCCGTTGGTGTCATCGCAGATAATAAACCAAATTATTGAATAACACTAGAATGTAAGAACTGTTATTTAATAACCAATATACTGTACATGCAAGGCGAGAAAGCTTGATAACAAATTATTTGGCTCAAAAAGATAAACAATAATTTCTCATGTGCCTATTGGATCAGATGCTATTGAAAGTGATTCGAGCAGTCTTGGAACTGAGACGTCATATGTCTCTGACCTTGTTCTGAGCCAGAGTTTAAAAATGTTCGTTATCTAAAAGTGTGAGTTACTTGAAAGGGGTGTTTGTTAAAATTACAAATAGTAATAGCGAAAATTGAAAATTGTGGTTTGTTCGGTTCGAAATCATATCAATGGGATGTCGCGTTCATTCATTGGTAGAAGATCATCTATAAACATGCGATCAACCAGTTTTTTGCATTATCCATTCGAAAAATGGTGCAAGTTGGAAATCAAAACGAGAAATCATTTTGGCAGTCATACAAAGCGATTCCTCCAAGAGCGCGAAAATATATAGGGTTGAGTCGGTAACTTCTCGCGCTCTAACAATTGTCGTTTTCTATGATGATTTTAAATTGATATAGATACAAATTCCTATGAAATAGCTGGCATTGCAATCGCTCTAATGGGCATGTACATAAGTGAACGTCTTGAAGAACGGCTTCCAGCACCATCTAAATCACAAAATACGTCAACCCCACCAACCCACGATGTGACAATAGCAAAGCAATGATATGAACGACGAATTTCAGGAGGGATCCTTACCCCAGGTATGTCATCAATATGTTATCAGATATTCAAACGTAAACGATTCGATTATTATTTGATACATTGATATTTATTTCGTAGACATTGCCAATTCAACGGGATAATACGTCAATGCTATTAATTCTCTCAATTAAAATTTGCATTGAATACCAATGATTATTTCTATGCAATCGGAACTTTTTACGAATAAAGCCTGCTCGGACAAATCAAAACTGTAGAACATCCGCCGCGTATATCATGCGGGAATGTTCTCTATTTACTAAATAGAGACGAACATAATACTTACAATACTGAATTACAGAATTATTATTTCTCGTCCTGATGTTATTATTTCATTAAAATCCTTAACAACACATGATGTGTGCTTTGGATCATTGTCTTGTTGCAGACGACAGAAATAGCTGTGCTTCAAAGTAACTTTCGTGCCTCAAAGCTGCTTGATGACGGTGTGGCTGTTGGAATCAATTCACCTTTCTTTTGAAGAACGAAATTGATCGCCTTTTTCAGCAAACCCGCTCTGTTCCGTGCCGGAATCGCATCGATATTATGAACGTTGGGGTCTAATACAAGACACAGCATAATTAATTTCATTGAATCAATTGAGAAACGCAAATTTAAGCTAACAGTCTGACTTACCGAACGAGGGCAACGCATTATCGTTAGCACTTAGAGAAATGAAATATGCAAAAGGTATCAACCATACGCATATTCCAAAGAACGAAGCAACCTCCACGAATTTATAGTACCGAGAGGCAAAGAATTCGAACCATAGAAAGTGATCAATAAGAACTAACACTATATCAATTGAATGAGTGGATTAGTCCACTACTCTATTCAGGTTGCTGATGGTAATCGGAAAAATCGCCGACGTTTATACTCACCACAACTTGCGATAAACGGATAGTTTGTTAAATTTATGAACGGAAAGGTCCGAAGGTTCAGTGTATACACCGCGTGGCATATTAACGAGAATAAAATGCGCCAGAAGGGAAAACCATCGAATAGAAAAAGTAGTATATGAACTATGGCAACGGTCTAGTAAGTAAATATGGAAAAGAATGTGAAACCTCTAATAAGTCAAGGTAAAATGAGAATTCGGGATAACGTAAAGAGTGGAATACGGGGAAACTTCTACCCATGTCAAGTACTTAATGATTTTACGTGTCAAGACAGTATATTCTTCAACAAACTCGGCTAAAAGAAGACGAACGACAGGTTAATTACTTGAAAAGCCGAATAAGCATAAAGTAATACATGCCACATATAATAAATGTATATCTATCCGTTGAATCAAGTTCATTTACAGTATGGGTGACCCACCTAGGTAATATAGCCCACAAGCTGAAATAAACATTTGTCGTCAGTAAGCACATAATTCGGAATTTGAGCAAGCCGCAACCGAACCCAATACCTGCCTAGACTTAAAGTTAGAAATATAAAAGCGAGAGCTGCACCACCATATGAAACTAATTGTAAGAAGCTCATTCTATATTTACAAGAGAATTGATGTTAAATTCCAAGCCACCCGGTCATTTTATTTAGCGCGTGATCGATGTATTAGTATTAGTAAGAATTAAGGCTATGATACGACAAGAAGATATACACAACGTATGTGCATGATTCATTGCATCAATAGACCTTTTCTCACAAGAACATGTATTTTTCAGAAGAGTAATAGTAATTGCTTGTACATTTCGATCGAACTTTTACTTTCCGTGAACATAATCCGTGCGAACGAGCATTCAAGATCATGCCTAACACGCCTAAAACGACCAAGCGCTAGTGGTGTCAAGAAAGTTATATTCGGGCCGCTCGTGAGAGGAATACCGGCCGAATTAAAGCCTTAACCATGGATATTTCAATTTCTGCATCTCCTTATACCGTAGTCTCCTATTAAGTATCGGGAAGATGCAATCCCAGAGAATCAATAGAGGCCTACAATATTCTCTACAACAAGGACTATATTGAAATGAAGTAAAGGGTAAGTATAGAAACAGTGAGGATTGCGGAGATAATTCATTATCTGATAGGACCGAGATAGTAGATGAACGATACTATTATGTATATGAATCCATAATTCTCTATTACAGTAAAGCCTCTTCAGAAGTCTTATAAAGATCTAACATTTACGCATTCAATATATCATTCATTCGATGACGTATCAAACTATCAGACGTTCTCTATTTACGCGATCTTTAGTTCATAACCGCCAACTTACTAATATATTCTCTCACGCGAGCTTTCCTTCTAATTTGTTACATTACTTTCGCTATCATTATCTCTGGTAAAAATATGTCCATGCCATACACCCCCAACGCTTTGTAAATGCGCGGGATTAATAACGAACATCCGTTCCTTTTCGTTGAACGTTCTTCTCAGTGCTTCTTCCACCTCATCATGCGTCATCTCCTTCAGTGACCATATTACCCAATGTTCTATTCCCTGTTCTAATGCGTATGGAAAATCATTCTTCCGTATAATATACTCGGATGAAGGCAGATGTTGTGATGCAGACGAAGGCGAGGCTGAAGCAGCTGTAGTGTTTTTCGTTGCAGGCACTCGTAAAATAACTTCTCGTACATAATTGTCAATAGAACCATATTGTCTGATTGTAGTCTTGCGAAATTCTCGGTACGACTGGGTCACTTCTGGAGTCCTCGTTAATAGATGGTGATTACTGGCATAGTTGTTATCGAGAGATTTAAGAGTGATAATTTAGGGAGAGTGCAGTCAAGTCCGGCTATAACGGTGCCAGTGGTTCATAACACGCGACGTATAATCATTTGTTTGCGAAATGTCATAGTTACCCTGTTCCTGTTGGATTATGAGTAGGATCATATAAGGGCGTCAGCTCTGCAAACTGACATATTAAGCTGCAATATTTCAATTACCGTCATACCAATTATCCCCGCTAATATATCCCAGCTCATCAATTCGGTTCTGCTCTCCTTATACATGCTTCCTGAGTAGTGTCACAGTGATTTGGATAATACTGGCTATTGGTGGCTTATAACTCGGTTGCAAACTTTGGAAAACTAGACTTCTCATAATTGATAGGCAATGTGACAAAACTAATTGATTATAATAACGCCTCGAAATACCATCAATTAGCTTCAAAGTACTACAATTTATTGTTAATTACATAGTAAATACGGATAATAGAACAAAGTACATTATTTCGTAATCGATTGTCTTTGCTGGCCAAGCATGCTCTTCAGAGTTCAACTTAAGATGGTTTAAAAAGTCAGCACTGAAAGCCTATTTCCAAAGGAAGAAGTAATTCACTGCATCTCATGGAAATTTGGTTCATCGTACTTTGATACTACGATCCGTGACCAAAACCAAACATTATTGTTATCTGGGAGAGCTACTGATAAGTTACTTCTTAATTCCTTTGATAGGGTTTACCAGCTCACATATATCCATGCTCTTGCTGACGATTGTTTCTAGATTGCACACGCTTATTCCCAACCGCCTAAAGGGAAAGATTCTATATGCTTCGCTTATTAGCTTGCCATTACCTTGCATCGCGTGCAATCGTAGAAAAGATATACTATACGAAAACCTAACAATAAAAACGGAGAGAAACATCGATTTCTAGATTATGTCTGGGTTTACTTTTAGTCAATTATATTGTTAAGTGATCAAGCGAACATGAGAGTCATAGCTTGCGAACAAATTACGACAGACCGATTTACAGTATAACAAGCGATTGAGACCAGGACTTGATAATTAGCACAATCTCGAGAAAATTTTTCACAGCTGCAGCAACGCCTTTATTCTCGTCTTCTATCGTGGCACTCTTTTTAGATTACCACGAACACGCTCTATTGTACCATCCGTTGCCAGACAATTTCTGATGTTTTCCAAATGCGTGCCGCCAATTCTAGATTTCATCGTGTTGTGTTCCTGTGTTGTAATGTTGTATTGTTGTAAGGCGTTGAGAATGACCTTAATCTATTCGGTGCTAATTTCATATTAAATAAAATACTACGATTATGTAGTGAAATCAATCAAATTTATTGTTTACGATTATTAAAATAAACTCACCACTAGGCTGAGCACGAGTGTAAGGGAAGACGCGTTGAAATTTATCGCCCTTTATAATCTTCGATAACTATGATTATTAGTTGTTTGTTCTTGTTTTATGATTATTCCGGTTGGCAATACGATTGCTAATTAATTGTTATCTAACAAACGCGTTTAGTTTAGTGTAGATATGCTTTACCGATAGGCTATCGGATTTCATCCACCGGCAGAGTTAATTAGCATTCCAAGATTAACGTATGAGTATACAAGATCGGGGGCATACGAGCCGTGAGTATTTAAACGCATCAACGTGTTATATAAATTTAATGGAGTAAAGATTTGCGTCTTTTGAGAAATATATATATATATTTTAGTCATAACCAAGAGAGAACTAAACTCGAATAGCTCTGCCTATGAACAATTTTTATTATTGTCACTTTGTTTACTAGAGCGACAGTTTTTGAGAAAAGAGATTTCGTATGTATGTGTAAATATTAATATATCGTTAATGTTTTTAAAAGACAGTTTGTTACGCAAAACGCAACTGTTGTCTTGGCATTATTATGTCGAGTAATAGATAATAAGCTTTTCGTTGCGACAGCGATCTCAACTAATTCTTTTACAGATTACAAAACGCTGAATAATTGATTCGTGACTAGCGTTTTTATTACTATACCGTAAACTCTCAAAGTTGTTCTCCCCTGTTTTTAGCCAATCTGCATAAAATGTCCGGAAGAGCTTGAAAGTAGGCGAGAAAAAATTTACAGAGGAGGCCCTTATTTACGGTACTTGTTTATTATAGTAGCCTTTTCGATAGATTGAGGAAAGAAGATGCATGAGCGGTATGTGTATATATGTACAGAGTTAGAGCAGAGACAGTGAGGATATGTAGTGGGATTATAACTGGGCATGGGGAAAAATATGTGAGAGAATATCAGAAATGATGCATTATGGTATATAAGCACAGCTAGATAGAGAATGGCGACATGTATGTGTAATCAGTAGGATTATTTGTCATCCAGTTTAGACAGTGTGTCTTGTTTGGAAAACAAAGACGGGTGACGTACTATGTACATATCGAATGTCTTATGTCTATTAATACAATGTTAATTCACAGGAATTGAAGCTATTAATCGACGCGGCAATGTGTTCAACAGGTAATGAGATACAGAAAATGAGTATGTATAGAATATTAGAGATGCTAATGTCTGTTACGATTGTTTGAATAACTGATGTGATGTTACTAATAACCATTTATTTATTTAAAGGATTACTAAAATTCTGCTCGACTATAATAATAATGGTACGACAAATCACCCATCTCCATAAATCCATGCATACCGTTATAAGCTCTGGACGACAAACGCGATTTGTGGCCGCTTCATTTCAATAAGTGGCCTGTATAACGTCCGATTGCAAGATCACAAAACTAATGAATGGAAAATTTCGTGGGTTTACGAGACGCAAAAACAACTCCGCGAAACCCAAGCGGATAGTTCTATTCATGCAGTTTCCATTGACCCTGGCGTTCGTACACCCTTCACATGGTACTCTCCTAGGTAAAATTGGCCAATACGACATTGGACGAATTATTCGTCTATGCAAGCATATGGATACTCTTCTTTCTATAAAGGACAAGCTGGCTGCCTCTAGTTTACTCGCGAATTTGATTCCCTCCTTTTGAGGTGTCGAATATGCTAAATCGAAAAACAAGAAAGATAACACGAAAAACCGTTCGTAAAATGCTCTATTGGGGCCACTATCAACGTCTGGCGGCTAAAGCAGAAGAATTAGGACCATGTTATTATCCAAAATGAGGCCTATACTTCAAAAACTTGCAGCTGGTGTGGGAGCGTTGAGGGTCCGAGAAGTACAAGTGCCGAAATTGTGGGACTGTAATGGATCGAGATGAAAATGGCGCTCGGGGAATCTTTCTCCGGGCATTGCTTGATGGAGCCTTGATTCTCTCCGGAGAAATAGTAATGCTTACTATTAATATGTTACAATCATGCGCTTGATCGATTGAGCATTCGTACGTAAGCTAATGTTTATCAAAAAATAGAAAAATTGGTAAACAGCATCCTCATATAACTATTAATAAAGGCAATGCATAATGCGAAACTCAGTTCAAGGTTTAGGTCAGCATCGTTAATTGACGAATGACAAAGATAGTTGAATAAATAGTCATGAGAATTTCATATGAAGCCTATGCACTAGTGAATCCCTGATTGTTAGCATTCCCAAAAGGGCTTAGTCACTAAGAATAATTAGTTTCAACTCGAATAGTTCAGTATAAGTAGTGTTACGAGTAATCGAGTCAGCTTTCTTATAATTAAATTCGCATAAACCAAATGCAAAAGCTGTATAATTGCTGGCAATAGACTAGTATCTTGTTCACTCAATCTGCTTTTTCACAACTTGAACTTACTATTTTCTATATATTAGTCACAGTAGGTTCATTTATTTGTTGCATATGTTGTGCAATAGAACTGCAGAGAATCTCATGATCAGGGGGGCAAAGAAATGATTTGTGATTGAAGCCAGTGCATGGAAGCGTCCAATTGAGCGGAAACTTCATCCGTCGCACAAACCTTGGCTTTTGATAACGTGACACACATTAACATTCAATAATCATGTGTTCAAAACGAACGACGATCATACTCGAACTTTCCAACCGACTTCCTTATTAATTTGATGTTTCCCGGAACATTTACATCCGAACATCCGTATTAGTATTAGTTGGATTAGTCAGCGTGATAACTGTATTTAGCAACAGTATGAATAAATAATCAAAGTAAAACTGCCAGTTGACTTACTAACCTCACGATACTATTAGAAACGGACGACGAAGTAGCGGGATGGGGGGAGTAGTAATAACAGTAATAGTAATAGTAGGTTTACACAAATGGTTTCACACAATGCAAAGGTTTTGTGTATTATTATGAATTGACCTATGAGAATACAAGATTGTCAACCTAATTGTGTTAATCCTTCTAATAAGTGTGTGAGAAATAGTCGCAGTAATAAATTTCTCACGTTTTCGTATTTGGGTATCTTTGTTCACTGTGGTTATTGTTTACCCCATCCTCGGCATGCTTGCAATAAATATATCATCTGATTGAATGTAGTATCGATGATATCATTAAACCAACTATATATCACAAACGACTACGGCGACTATTATGGTCTATGACGTATAATTGCTTATTACTATTATCCCATTTAGTTGGATCAGCTTTTCGTTTTGGTGTCATTTCTCCGGATTCTGATTAGGTCGTATAAAAACGTCCCCCCAACAAAACATATAAGCCCCCACCCTTCCCCTACTTCCACCACTTCCACCAACTTTCCGTTATACAAATACTTTAGAACTCGCACGTTGGCAGGCGAGAATCAAAAATCACACCCAACAGCATACAGAGCAACTCGCCCATCTCTAGTCAAACTCACTATGCGACAAACAACGAAACCATACATATCAGAAGTGTCACCACTCGTCATTGCTGATACAGCTTATAAGAAGTCATATTCGGCTATCACGATCACTGTTGCCGATATCGAGCTTATAAATAGAAGAAGAGCAAGATGGGGAATGTTAAAGGCCATTGGTCAATTGGTTACATTATTTTTTATATCGTGTATAATAGTGTATATGGTCGTTCAAGAATATTTACCTCCAATCGATGAGTAAGTATACGAAATAAATAAGTGGGAGCGTCCACAAGTAAAATAAGATCGCTCAGTGTGAGATAAAGGGTGCAATTCGAAAGCTATAGCGAATGCGCAGCATGTTTTAGTACAATCGCGCTTTCGCTCGGGCTATACAACGCGATATCTAACTGTATATATCAAGGTTATTAACATGTATTATCAATTTAATTTGTAGAGAAAAGCGAGATATTCTTCACCTACCAAAGAACCTTGATGA